TTTAACAAAATTAGTGTTTCTGGCTCCATCAGACATGTCGTAACTGATCTGGTACTTTTTCTTACTAACAGTATGTGACAGTGAAGAAACAAAGATACAATAGCTCGGTGTCATTGCCTCCATTCCTGCTAAGACATTAGCCACCTCACCCCTGTTGACTATTAAACAAGCTGTACAAATGCTAAAATCAAGAAAAAAGTCATGGCGTATGATTATAAAAAATGTTTTAGCCCTTGAAGTCCTTGCACACAGGGTCCCAACGGCCCCTTGTCTTGCTTTGACACAGTTGTGCTAAAAGAAAGCAGCTGATACAAAGGGGAGAGAAGAATCCAACTGCAGCCTTGTGGAAGCAGAGATGGGTCCGCTGCATTAGCGTTCCTTATAATCTCCAGGTTCCCTCACTGTGTAATAGAGATGATCACAGCAACAATATCACATACTTCATAGACTAAATGTGACATTTACATAGGAAAATATACCTAGAGAGTGAGCACAGTGCCCAACAGAGAGTAGATAGACTAGCAATCGGCTGGGGAAAAAACTCATGGCTAAGTATTTTCAAAGCACAATAACAGGCGATGGAAAATCAGTGATCTTTTGTGGCTGACCTGATGTGAAGAGCAAAGAGTTGATGAGCCGAAGTTCATTCCCAGTATTGGAGTAAGCCATAGCTGACAATAACCCAGGAGAGATTGGAAGTGGTTTGTAAAGCATGATAATAAATTCTGCTCAGCACCTATTTAGTGTGAGGTGCCTGCGGGACATCTGGTGTGTAATTAAAATAGGTGTTTGAGATGCAGAAAATCTGTCTGAGCTTGGGAAATGTTGATTAAAGGGTGATGGGTTGAAGCTAAAGCAGAGAATTCATATGACATCATCTAGCTGCAAAGTGAAAAGATGAAAAGCCATACCCCACATTACTGGTCTTGCAGGAGAGAGGACACAGAAGATATCAGGCAATGAAATCAGAATGATCATCTAGACACAGAAAGGGGAACTTCCAAGACGCTAGTTAAAGCTCATGAATTGAGTCCCACAATTGGTTGAGATCTATGTCTTAAGAAAAAAATGAAGAACAGACCCAAAGAAGTTGAATAATCTCTGCAGGAATGTCTACCACCAATCACAGATGTTGTTTGAGGCAAAATAATCTTTGCACATCCTATTCTTTGTTGACATTCTCATCATTGTGAACATGTTTGTATTGAATCTTGCTATTTTTTTATGAGTGGATTTTAAAGATCTAAGCTTAAATAACTACAGAAAAAATAGGTTTGGGATGTTCAATTTTGTTTTCCAGGCTCACCTATCAGTGTGCTATGATTCTATCATAAGCTTATAAAAGTCTTTGGAACCAACCAATACCATGAGCCCAACTGGACTATTTGTTAATGAGTCACACTCTAAGAAAAATGCCATTGTAAATATTAAGGACATGCTGTGGTACTACAAGGTGAGATACACATCTTCTCCATTTGTCATATGGTCCCTGGCTTCTCATCTAATTTTCCAGAACATCAGAGGGTTTGGCAAATTTTATTGCTATACAGTCTGCTACATTTTCTCTCTATGTGTTCATTCTCTCTCTCTCTCTCTCTCTCTCTCTCTCTCTCTCTCTCTGGATTTTTATGATTATGTTGCAGACAAAATCGATTAGTTTTGGTCTGTTCCCATGGAAACAAATTATGTCAGAAGGCTGTAAATTTACCATCTTCAAGGATAGAAAGCTGCTCTATGTCTCATAACTTGAGATGTCATAAAAAAATTCACAATATATTTTCATGTACTTGATGATGAATGAGTTAATAGGAAAGCCTAGGCTCATAGGCAAGAAAAATATGTGATGTATTTTTGTATCATCAAAAGAGACTATTACAGGAAGGTCATAGTCTCAAAGATAAGATCAACCAGTGAACTGTACTCCTGCTAAAGAAAACTGTTTCTTATTTTTGTGGTACCTGGGATTTTACCCAGACCTTTCTGCATTCTCCAGGCCTATCACTGAGCTATATCCTCAACCTAAACAAGAGGTTTCACTTTTCCACCGTGTGTGTGTGTGTGTGTGTGTGTGTGTGTGTGTGTGTGTGTGTGTGTATGCTGGTGACGGCTGAACATGGTCTCATACATATTGGCAAACTAGGCAAGTACTTATACACTAAGCAATCCCTGTCTCTACTTTTTCCAATTTTTTTCTAATAGAACTCTCATTTAGAGCTAAGGATTATTCAATACATATTGATTCTGTTAGTATCTGTGATCAATAGCATAATATTTTATGAAATATATATAGAGAATTTGGCACATGATGCTAATAATTGCTAGAAACCCCCAAGGGCAGAATTATGTACTATTTCTATATTTCAAAAGAGCTTTGAGTTAATATCTGACTGGTTTCCTAGCCAGATGGATTTAATAATAATAAAATTCTATTGAATGGCTACTGTATCTCAGAAAGTTCTAAGTAATTTGTGGATATTAACTCATTTAACCACTCTTGCAACTCTATCATATTTATTACAGTCTTATTCTGTTTATATTATTTTTACTCCCATGTTACAGACCAAGAAATGTACGTGTACATAGGTTATATAATTTGTAGTAAGTTTCAAAGTTAGTGAGCTAAGCAATCTATATTTAAATCTAGATAGTTAAGTTAAAAAGTCAGAGTTTCTAAGTCTGCAAAATTACAAGATTACTTTTTAATTTTTTTTTATTTTGTTGATTTTATTTTTATTTCTTATGTGTATGAGTATATCGCCTGCATGTGTGTAAGTGCACCTATGTCATGCAATGCATGGAGAGGTCAGACGATGTCAGATCCTCTGGAACTGGAATTATGGACAGTTGTTAGCCATCATATGGGTGCTGGGAATCAAACCAAGCTCCTCTGCAAGAGCAGTCAGTGCTCTTAACCACTGAACCATCTCTCCAGCCCCCTTATTTTCATATTTTATGTGCCTAAGTGTTCTGTGTGAATGTATGTGAGTGCACCCATGTGTGCAATGCTGATGGTGGCCAGAAGAAGGTGTCAGATCCCCTGGAACTGGAGTTACAGATGGTTGTGAACCATCATGTGGGTTCTGGGAATCAAACCCAGATCCCCTGGATGAGTAGCCAGTGCTCTTAACTGCTGAGCCATCTCTCCAGTCCTAATGACCAGATTCTTGATTCATATTTGCTGACTTGGAGTTAGTATGTCAGTTAACCTTAGTAGGAAGTTGCTATGTATGGATCCTGCATCAAGTGACAGAGTGGTCTAACCTGACATGGAGAACTCTAACCCCACTTCTATAGAAAATTAAGCAAACAGAAATGCAGTGAGAATAAATACAAACACATATAACAGATACATGTTCACTATGCAAAAAACTTCTGAACTTTCTGAAGGTAAGCTACAGCCTCTGGGATGTTCTTCCAGGCCATACACTTCAGTGTCCTAGGAAAGAATTTGGCACCCTATTAGTGTGAGTAAATCTATCAAAAGAGCAATCTTATGGCAAGGATAGTATTAAGTCATGGTTGAATACAAACAGAATCCTGATTTTCTTTTATTGTTGCTCCCTCCCTGTATAAGGATACAAAGCATGATTGTCACCATGTGGATACTATATTTTAATTTCCCCTTTAACTGTGGATTTTGTCTTCTTCCATTGACTGGTGTCATGCTTCTGAAAACAAAAAATTGGAGTAAGAAAGCCCAAGTTCAACCCAGTCTTCAGAACAATCACCTTGGAAATAATAATTAGGTTATAGAGGCATATATATTCTGTGATTTGGGTCTCCTCAGATAGCTTACAAGCTTGAGGAGACAAGAGCCAGCTAATAACAACGATTAAGCCCACGTTTTAATAGAGAAACCAGTATCACTGGCTTTAATAGCTCTTGTGTTTTTCCACTGAATGTCTAAAAACTGAAGCACTCTCTATGTTTGAGTTACAGTGGGGCACTTTACCCTGGATACTCCCTCTAAGCTCTTTGAAATCAGTGCTTAAGGAAATGACATGTGACCTCGTTCTGGCCAATGAAACCTGAGGAAGGTTTGTCAAGGGGCTGTCTGTAACTACTCTACTCTGCCTAGGAAAGGTGTGAGGAAAAGACATCTTCCCTGTCTTGCACCTTGCTGCATCAGGGTACTTTCTATGGACACTCTGTCAGCCAACTTCCAATGAGAATGGATCCACTCTGAGAGCAAAGCTGACACAGCAAGTGTAGAGATCACAGAGACATGTTTAGCCCGGACTCCTGACGGATGGCTCAGATCTTGGACCCAGACAACCTCTGCGCTGCTTGCTGTGTTCAATGAACATCCTTCCTGACTAAAATGATTTTAGACAGTTCTCCTAGTTAGTTGCACATGATACATGAAGTAAATAAGTAGTTTTTGGTAAGCTAAAAAAACTTGGACAGTCTAGAAACAAGCGCTTAATCAAATAAATACTAACCATGAATCTAAAATGTCCTTTACTCAGGAGAAGCAAGTGAGCTATGGGCCTAATTATCAAGTAAATAGAATAAAATCAAAAGTAAACACAATCCTAGGCAATTTTAAAAACTCACAAAATGAATGTTCTTCAAAGAAGGAAGGAAGGAAGGAAGGAAGGAAGGAAGGAAGGAGGGAAGGAAGGAAGGAGGGAAGAAAGGAAGGAAGGAAGGAGGGAGGGAGGGAAGGAAGGAAGGAAGGAAGGAAGGAAGGAAGGAAGGCAGGAAGGAAGGAAGGAGGGAAGGAAGGCAGGAAGGAAGGAAGGAGGGAGGGAAGGAGGGAGGGAAGGCAGGCAGACGGAGCTGGGTCAGTTTCTCTTTCTGGCCTTTGGCATCATTCCATCCCCAGACGCCACCCCTTCCAGACCTCTTTATTTGTCTGTTTGGAGAAACACACCAATGGAACTGGGAATCACTTTTCTACCTTCTTTTTATCTGGGTACAGCTGTCCTTTTTAGCAATATAAATTTTAGTTTGCTTTCCACAAACACAAATTCATTCTCAAGTAGTAGGTCAGGTACCTTTTGAGGGTCACAGCACCTTTGTTTGGAAAAGGCTCCAGGTCCCTTCTGGGAATTATCTCATTTGTTCTTATAGTATCCCTGGACGGGATTCTGTATATTTTTCCAGTAAGCCACTCTGCCAGGAATCCTTGACAGGTATGTCAGTGCTGACTAACTGATGTGGCTGGGCTTCAGCTCTCTTGCTCCATGATCTGTGTGAAAAGAGAACAGAGTACCGTTAGCTGGGTGCACTTGGCTTTGATAGTGTAGCAGTGTTCTGTTCTTGAGTCCTGGTTCTGGAATTGTTTTTTATGACCTATCAGGAAAGTAGAGTTCATGCAAAGCAGACTGTTCCATCCTTGTAAGAAGCACCTTCTTCTAGGAAGGCAGGGGCCAGGAACCACTGCTAGGACCAGGGGTATGGACGGGACTCTCCTTCTCCTGCAGCTGCTCTGATCATTCGCTTTTTCTAGAGATGTGCTGGCAGTCTGTTCATCACTTCCTACTTCCTTGTCTGCTCTCCCCTGTCTACTTTCTCCCCTTTGCTTCTTTTCCTCCAACACCTCAGCGACTGCAGGAGTGGCCTAGTGGAACATGTGACAGATGCTGATGCAGTGGCCTACATGCTAGTTCCTTTTCTAGCTCTTGCTTCCTCTCCATCTAAAACGTGGTTTAATTGGTTCACTAAGACAAACCTTGTCCAATGGCTACTAAAGGTAAATTTTATACCAGCATGCTAAATCAGATCACAATATTAACCTCAGTTAATCATCTGATGTTATTCTCCTCCTATCAATGGCTTAACACAGGTTAACCCAATAAACATTATTTCACAGGACAAAGTATGGGATTCTAAAACCAGAAGCTGATACTTAAAACAGTATGTGCTTCAGTTTACAATGTCTGTCAATCTAGCTGGTCATGGATTGTCACCAAGAAAGCTGTTTACCAATTACTATGACAAAAAAAAGCTTAACCTTGGTTTTAAATTTTTATGCCATCTATTAAATTTCTGTCTCCCCAAAGCCACCCATCTTTTTTCTGCTCTGCCACCAGGCACAGAACATTATTAAACCCTGTCAATGCCTTTCAGTGATGTACAGCCACTTTTGCCAAGTCAGAAATTGTCTCTGTGTCTTGGTCTCTCTCTCTCTCTGTGTCCTCTCATTTTGTGGTTCTATCATTTGCTGGATGTGAGACATAATACGTTACCTCATCAGACCAGCTGTTAGTTTCTGACACGTAAATGGCGAATATGCCTAGCAAAATAGTTTTTTATAATGGCATTTTGAAAGGCAATAGATGTACAAACATAAACACGTGTTCCCCAGGGGTTCTGGTTCCTCCAATGGGCCGGGCCTGCTGTGGACAATTGACTGTGGAGAGTTAGCCACGAAAGGAGGGGCGTGTGGTGCCATCTTGGGACGCGAGACAGCAAGCTGCTAGGGACGTGCAGCGACGTCGGGCATGGGGAACGTGCAGCCCAGCATACTCAAGGACAGAATGGCCTGGCACTTATGGACCTGGGCGAGACTGCTGGCCCCTGAGGCATGGACGAAAGCAAGCAGTGACTATGGGCGTGCAGTGGGAGCGATCTGATATGGCAGGCTCTGTGCCACATGGCACAGGGCTGAGTGGAGCTGAGCCACACAGAGCTAGGCACTGGGTGCTCATTTCTTTGTAAGTCACTCCCCCCTCCCCACGATGATGATAATAATAAATGCACATAAAGATACGTTATATGGTTTGCCTGATAGCACAGGAGACCCAGAGAGAACTCTGGCAACAACACATAGGCACATATACATGAATTTATAGAAAGTAGGCTTTCTATAAAAGCTAGAGATTTTAATAGTATTAGAAGTATTAAGAGTATCACAGTTACTACTTTTTGCAATAATACTTGTGTGCTATAGAGTTTCCTATAATATTTATTTACCAAAAGCTCAGTGGTGGTGGCTTGGTTTCCAGCCCATGGGGCCATTGGGCAGGCCTACTGGAAGTAACTTGGGTCACTGGAGGAATAACTTTGAAGGAGATATTGAGAGCCCATCCTTTCTTCTTTTCTCTTTGCTTCCGGCTGCCGTGAAGTGAACAAGCCTTTGCGTTGTAGTTAAGCCATGATGAACTCTCCCACCATAGGACCAAGCAAGCATGGAATGAAACCTCTGAAACCATGAGCCGAAAATAAGCCTTTTCTCATTTGAAATTGATTTTCTTAGGTATCGTGTCACAATGTCAGATGCCTAGCCTACACTACCAGACAGCATCATGCATACTCAGAGGTTAAGCTTCAGACTTAAGTTTATAGTCATTCAATAACTGCTAGTGTTTTCTGCTTCTCAGACACACACTTACCAAGCATTGCTTCCCTTGGCCTCACAGCACACAAGTAATTAGATTTTAAATACTTTGGCCTCTAGCCTGACATATAATGAGAATGATTTTAAATAACCAAAACATCAATTTAGTCATATTTCTTAAATATTTGAGAGGTTTTTATTGGAGACACAGAGGAGGGTGAGATAGGGATGTCTGAATTTGGAAGATTGAGAAGCTGAGGGGAGTTGGAACTCAGAAGCCACCCCAGCCCCCAAAGGCTCCGATTAGATCAATGTCTCTCTTCTCCCTGTCTTTAAGAAACTCTACTCATAAATGTATCTTCTGGTTTAGGTTTCAAGTTGGGAGGACAATTTTTCTAATCTCAAGTACCCACAAGAAAGAGCAGTGACTTCTACATATGACCTCACATTCCAATTGAAACCTCACACTACTATCTGTACTGTATCTTTTTTATTTATTAAGATGCAATCTCCTGTATGTAGTCCAGGCTGTTTTAATCCCATTATGTAGCTGAATCTGGCCTAGAACTCCAGATCCCTCAGCCTCTGTCTCCAGCTTCTGAAGTTAAGCATATGCACCATGATTTTTACTTTTTGAGACAAAGATCACAAAGCTTCCTAGGTCAGGCTGGTCAGAAATCACTGGCTGGCTTTGCCTCAGTCTCTCAAGTGCTAGGGTGATAGGCCTGTGCCACCAAACCTTACTACATTGTATGCTTTTACTATCCTTTTTGTCCCTTTGATTTATTCTGTAGTTTGAGCTATTTGTGTTATTTTAATAATTTTTACCTTCTTTTGTACTGACAACATAACACCTCCTTCAGAACTTTCCAGGTGAAAACCATTTCTGCAAGGTAGTGGACTGGAAAGGCTTGCCTCCTTAGAACTTTGTGCAGGTACTGAGGCTGCTTCAAGGTGCTCAGGAAGAACTCACAGTTCCCACCAGCAGGTTCCTGACAGTGTTTGCATGAGGAAGGGACAATCTTGTTCTATCTCTGCAACCAGGTAACAGCTTCACCTACCACCTGCTCATTTGGTTTTGAGACTTGAGGTCTTTATCATGAAGGTGACTATAAATGACCAAATCATCAAGAGATGGTCTAAAATAAAATACTGGAACATCGTCCAGAAACTGTATATCCAGTCCTCAGTGCACTCGAGTAATTCTCCTTGGGACATTTGGTGACCTTTGTGGTGGTCTGTGTTCATCTAAAATCATACTTTTCGTTATGTAAAAATCCATTTACCTCTTTACTCCAAAAATGTTGAACTCAGGAGATTCACAACTAAATGTACATTATAAGGGAAAAACTCTCTTAACCCATACTATTAGCTCTTGGTATGTCATATGCAGTTATTTTCTTAATTTTTCCTGTCTTGAACTGTCTTCTTTTTAGAAAGATTTTTTTGATTTCTTTTTATGTGTTATGAGTATATTGGTTGCATGTACATAAATGTGCTCATGTTGTGCAATGTCCATGGAGGTTAGAAGAGGGTACTGGATCCCCTGGAACTGGAGTTGTGCATGGCTGTTAGCCATCATGTGGGTGCTGCGATTCAAACCTGGGTCTTCTGGAAGACCAGCCAGTGCTCTTAACCAATGAGCCATCTCTCCAGCGCCCCCATCTTGAACTGTCTATTGAAAAGGATCTAAAAACCCATCAATTTAGAACACTTGTCAAAGAAGTGAGATACAATAAATAAAAATCAAATCCATCTAAGTATTTATTTTACTCATTTTTAAGTATGGATTGATGCTTCTTGAAGATAATCCAATTTTTCCAAAGAGCTAGCCTTAATTTTATACTTAAAATAAATATTGCATCTTACATTTCTAAACACATCAATCTTTAGATTAGAAAGGATCTTTCAGGCCAGCTAGTTTCATGAATCCTCATTATAACAGTGGCCTTACATCTTAGCATCATAATCACCATAGGGCTTCTTATGAAAACATAGCTTTCCCAGCATTACTCCAAAGTTGCTGCTGTAGCTGGTATGGGTGGGGCCTGGGTTTGTGAGTCTAAAATGCACACAACTGATGCTAACACTACTGGTTAGCAGCACAGTACTTTGATAATGCTTAGTTTGTAGACTCAATATAGGAGAACGGAGAATGAAGGGGACCAGCAGGAGGGACAGGGAGGAGAATAGTAAATGGTTGGCTATGATCAAAGCATGCATGAAACCATCACATGAAATCCATTATTTAATAAGACTAATATGTACTAATAAAAAATCCAGATTTGGGGAGGGGTGCACATTGGTATTTTGAGACATGGTCTCATGTAGCTCAGGCTGGCCTCTAACTTACTACATAGCTGAGGTTGATCTTGAACACCTGATCCTCCTGCCTCTACCTCCCACAAGTTAGGATTACAGGCATGCCTAACCACATCCAGCAAAATTCTTTTATTTTTTTAAATTAGAAGCATATATATAAAATATATTATATAGTATATATTTTACACATAGTACTATGTCTCTCATTTTAATGACTTCTCAGAAATGACAGTCATGGCTTCCTCTGTCTCATTTATTCACTTAATGTCCTGTGGTGAGATTCCACTGAACCTGGCCTTGAAATGATTGATGGCAGTGTTTCAAGAAGCACCAATGGCTTTCTGTCTCCCTGCCTCCAGCCTGATTGCCACACAGCCTATTTTCATCCCACCAGTCAGAGTGATCTTGGGAGAACAGAAATTTAATCATGTCATTCTTCTGCACAGAAGCCTACAGCAGCTGCCTTGAAAAGTTTGCAACCTCATGTTGCCTGCATACTGGCTTCTGGCTGTCCTCCACACCTTGAAGCATATAGACCATGACTCTCCCTGGGCAATAGGAAGCTGAACAACAGAGGGTCTTATTTT